CCCCCCATCCCCCCAAACTCCTGGGTTAGCCCAGTGAAGGGCAAGGATCAGGGTCTGTTCTCCTGCAGGGGAAGAACTGGGAGGGTTCCCACCATGGGAGAATACCCCACTCTGACCAATCAGCTGATTGGAGAGGGGGCCATTCTTCCGGAGCAGGAACCCTCCAATTGGTGTTCTTAGTCAGCAAAAGAGCAAACATCTGAATGTGACTGAGCAGTCCTTATCTTCACAGATGGAGAACAATACATGCCAGTTCTTGTTCTTGGAGAGAAAAGTATTTTAAACTGGCTAATGCTAGGCTGCAAATCACAGGTGGGAAAGGGGGAGAAAACTTTTATCTAGATGTTATAGGTAAGAGAGAACAGCTGATTTAAACTTCAGGCATGCAGGTTCACTTTGGCTTCCTTTCATGAGGGATAGGAGTAGCTGAGCCATTTAAATGGTCTCTGCATAGCTTTTGGGGAAAAATTATATTCTAGGGAACCAGTTTTACCTTTTGGAGCTATAGTTACTCTTTTATTCAGTCTAGAAAAAGTAGTGTTGGGATACAGCTTTCAGGGAGTGGGATGGTGCATATGAAGGAGGATCCCTTCTCAAGAACTCTGTGGAACTGCCTCAGCCCCAATTCTTGTGTATGCAGCTGGCTGAAATACCCTTTGTTTGGTTAATTGGTATTGCTTGGCTATGTGAGGTAGTGACCTGCTTCTTCCTCTGTTCTGCAAACTAACAAACAATACTCTAATAGACCTTTTGGGGCTGGAGGACCTTAAGGCGAAAGAATATTATATATGATGGGAATTGGTGGACACGGAATTCAGATACTGAAACTCTTCTCTTTCTTGTGCCTTTTGAAGAAAAGAGACTTAAATGTGAACCTAGATCAGAAAAAATGGAAAAGAAAGTGCTTAAAAGTGAGAGTAGAAGGGGTGCTTCTAGCTATTATCGCATGCTTTTTGTTTTCCCTTGTACGATAGAAATACCTAGAAGATGTCATTTACATAAAACGAACTTTTCTACGATATGAACAAGCCACCTAAACTGTGTAAAGACCTTGTGTTCACAGCTTGATGCTGTTCAGGGCTATCTCACTAGTAAAGATGGTGGGTATACTGGAATGTGAAGTGTGTTCTGTTTTTCCATCTATTTCTTTAGGCCTCTCTCCTCCTTCCTACTCGTTGCCAGCTTCTGCAGCAGTTATTCCAACAGAAGCTGCCCTTTATCAACCTTCTGTACTTCTGAATCCACGAACACTCCAGCCCTCAACAGCATACTATCCAGCTGGCACTCAACTCTTCATGAACTACACAGCATATTATCCCAGGTAGGGCAAAGAGGAAACAAGAGGCAGAAACAAAGAACTCTTTACAGCAAATGCACGAGGCTCACAAAAGAATGTTGTTGGGCTGCCATGCTGGAGGCTTGTGCTATGGAGAACAGCCTGTTCAGTTTCTTACAGTTATTTAACAAGTTTTTCCCCCTGTTTTATAATGTTTGTCAGTGGCAAATTAATTTAAAGTCAAGGAGATATTTTTTGTGGTAGGGTAGGATTCTTCAAAAGTGCCTAAGTACCCTAGGACTACAAATTCCATTGTTTTCAAAGGAAATTATACTTAAAAAAAAAAAAAAATTCTTTTTGCATCTGTTAAAAAATCTATAGCTTGTTCCATAAAAGAAGTGCCTGCCTTAATATCTCTGGCCAACCTTATCACTTTTTTTTTCTTTCTTTTGACCTTGGTTTGCTGAGTTCTGGCTGCTGCTTGGTATTCCAGAGGTAGTTGCTTCTGTAAAGTTTAAAGAATTTGTGGATTTTATTTTTTATGATAAAAGGTTCTCTCTATATATGAAGATATCACTAACGTGTATTGAACTCATTTCCCCTCTCCCCACTCCACCTCTTTTTCTCCCTTGAGAGATTTTAGCTTTCCCTAAACAAGTCCTCTGTGGGTGAGGTGATAGGAGTTTGGGGGGGGCTGTGTTTTTTTTAATTTGACTTGATATTTCTCCATCACAAGGCAACCCTCCCAGTTAAAGCAGATGTGTAATCTCAACAGTGGTAAATAAAGTATTGGAAGATTAATCCAAGTCTTTCTGTGACGATCTTGAATTTACATGTCTGTCATTCAGCTTGATTTACCCTTTCAGACACATGCCATGGATACTCCCCTTTGTTTGGACCCTGGAGTGTACATCAACTCATTGTAATTAAACATTGCCATATTTCCATCTCTGCAAATACATAGAGAAATTTTCTCTTCACTAATTAAATTTGTTTTCATTCCCCATATTCCTATTCACCACCCTTATTGTTCTCTCTGAAACTTAAAAAGCAGTACCCAGGGCTATTTGCTTCCTGTCCTTGCTTTGGAGGCAGAGGATATGATTAGGAAGAGTTGGAACTATCCCAAGAGTGTGACTCCACATGGGAAATCCTTCTGCAACAATGTCTCTTTCCACTTCCTTCACTTGACTTAATTATTTTTCATGAGTTCCATATGGAACCATGCTCCCTACCAACCTTCCCTGCTGCTTTAGTGTCTGGTTAATGCTGTGGTCCTCAGACCACATTTTGTGGCCACAACTTAATGCCTGTAACTGTTTGCAGAAAATGTTATCAGTGTTGGGAGGGCAGTGGCGGGGAGGTCTCTGCATACATAACACTGTATAAAGTACATATGAAGGCCATATGCTAGTCCCACCCACTATGTTGAAAACTTCCCATATACCATGCACCATAGTACTTTCTTTCGTGTATTTGCCACAGTTCACTTGCGGTGTGTTTGTTCTGGCTCTCTGGTTAATACTAAATGTTTGTGTGGCTTCTGACTCAGTCAGGACTATGTTTCTGGGTTAAGGATTCTTGAGGTAGGGCCCAACAGACTTTCCTGGAAGATCATGGGGCAGGGAGGGTGGGGATCCTTTAAGCACCTGTGGTCCTTTACTTTAATCATGGAATGGGAGTGCAAGCTGAACTTTGGAGGAGCCATGGTATAGCCGAGGACTGCTCACCCCTTCCGTGCAAACTAAAAACTTCTTCAGTTGGCTGCCCCACTAAAATACATACAAGCTATTTTTTACTTCCCTACATAAGGCAAGGAAAAAAATTCTAAAAAGAAGCTCTTTAGACTAATTAAAATTAAATGACAGCAGTATACTTGCCTCTGTCACTTACAAAACTCAGCTGCTCGAATGTAAAAGCACAGAAATGAATAGTTTTAAAAACACAAAATAAGTTATTTCATTTGTCCTCACAGTGTACAAATGTTAATTCTGACTTCAGCTAAGTACTGTGTGCTTTATAATATAATGTACTTTCATACTATAAATGCTACAGACAGCCCTTCTGGAAAAGACCATAACTCTGTAAAGTAATCAATGCAGACATGAGGCTTCATGTGGAACCCCTATACTGTAGTGGATATGATCCCTGTGTAGATGCAGAGAGCTGATTGAAAGCTGCTCAAGAACAAGGCTTATTGGTGTATTATAAATTATACATCTTGATCAGACTTGGACGCAAGGTAAAATTGCTGCCAAGAAAGCTGTCCACTGTTACTGAGGAACTTTTCATATTTAGTTTCCCAAGGAAAAGCTTTATTTTGTGGCTTGGTTTATGGTGGTTGTGATAAAAATATGTACCATATTTCATAGTGTATGGGTTGACGCAGTGTATAATTCAACACCCCCCCCACCCCCCCCACCCCCAGCTTTCTGATTTTTGAAAGGTAAGGATTTTCATAGGCATGGTATATAAGTCAGGGCCAGGCACCAGTGCTGCTCACAGGGGCTGGGGCCCTACCAGCTGA